ACAAGTGTGTGTGTGTGTGTGTGTGTGTGTGTGTGTGTGTGTGTGTGTGTGTGTGTATGTGTATTCATGGATATGTGTGCAGGCACAGCACATGGTATAGGTCAGGGGGCAACCTCAGGTACCTTTTGTTAGAATCTCTAGCCGGATTTAGGCCAAAAGCGCCGTTCTGTGTCCTCTATGGGCTGGGAGGCTGTGCTATTGTGCCATCTTTTTACATGAACTCTGGTGGTATCAGGTTCTAGCTTGCAGGTTCCCTGGCTTTGACTTTGCTTTTTAAAGAGATGAAAAAGGTTTTTCTTGGCAGTTTCTGGGCATATCAGTCCATCTTGGCAGGGTAGCTGGAGTAGTTAGTTCTGGTCATGGCCCTACATTTTGGTATATCAGAAAGCAGATAGGGCTGGCAGCTTCACTGTACTTAGTGATGTTTCTGGGGAATGTTAGCTCCTAAGAGCTTCCTGAGTGTTTGCTTATGCGTTGGTTGACTAGTGTTTCTGAGTCCATGGCCCACTGATGTAGCTGATGTTGAACAATGAAGAGTGCTTGCTACTTATGATTTGAACTTTCAGTGATGTGGTATTGTAGTAGGAAGAAACACAGACTTTGGGACCACGTAGAATGCTTTCATTTTTATATTTTAAAAATATATTATGAGGGTGGTTGTGCATGTCCTGGCACATCTGTGGAGGTCAGAGGACAACTTTGTGGAGTCAGTTTTCTCTTTCTACCTTTGCATGGGCTTGGGGGATTGAATTCAGGTCACCAGGTTTTTGTGGTGTCTCTATCCACTGAGCCATCTTCCTGGCCCTCATTGTGAATTACGTGTGTGTGTGTGTGTGTGTGTGTGTGTGTGTGTGTGTGTATGTGTGTGTGTGTGTTTGTGTGTGTGTGCCTTTGCTCACAGAGGCCAGAGGAAGTCATGGATGTCTTCCTCAATCTCTTCTTTCTTACTCCTTTGAGATGGAGCCTCTCCCTGAACTTGGAGCTCATGTGATTTGGCTGGGCTGGCTGCCTAACAAGCTTCATCCATCCTCCTGTGCCCTCCTCAGTGCTGGGGTTACAGGTGCATGTGAGACCCATGTTGAGCTTTTTTATGTGGCTGCTGAGGATCTGAACTCATGTCATCATGCCTGTGAAGCAAGCACTCTTGCCCATTGAGCCATCTTCCAGTTCTGAGATGGTACATGTTAAAAAAGCTTGGTTTTCTGTGTGTTTTCCTAGTTTAGAAAGAAAGGAAATAATTACTAGTAGGAGAGAAGTTGAGTGAGAAACATTACTCTGCCGGCTACAGTTAACTAGTTAGCTCTTAAATCTGTCTATCGAAACAGTTATGGGACTGAAGGTGGGTCAGCTCAGTGGTAGAATACTTGCCCCGTATGTACAAGTTCCTGTGTTCATGCCTCAGCCCTGCAAAAAGTTCAAACTCAATTTTAGTACCTTTTCCTCACTTTGTGTTTACTATGCCTGAACATGATTTTTGAGAACTCATTTCATAACAAAACAGTTGTCCCAAGTGGAGTTGATGTCAACTGTGTCAACAGCCTTTATATCCTTTTCTTCTCTTTGCCTCTGTTCTTTGCTTGGAAAGGAGGCTCCACCCATTGTGAAACTGCAGAGCAGGAAGGACAATGTAGGTGCTCACTGCCTTTGACTTTGGTTAATGTGACCAAGCTTGGGTGAGGGAGTTCGGAGGAACCCATCCCATCCCAGGACTGGGTTTATTGAGAGACAGACGATAACGGAATGAGCCTCAGTACCTACCACGACTCTCAGAGTGCTGCACGGTTTTGGTGGAAGCAAAACTGAAGCCACTGGAAGCAGAAGATAGCTTTCTTAACTTGTGCATTTACAAGCTGGGGAACTGGAAAATACCAGCTTACCAAACATATAACTCACTGGCTCAATCCTTTGGGCTTCGCCATTCTGCTAATAGAAATAATAATTATGTTTTTCTGATATATTTGCCAAGTGTTCATGCTTCCCAGCCCACATGTGATTAAGGGTGTTTCTGCAGCATGTGTGCTTTGTCTTTGCTTAATGTTTCCTAACAGTTGAGTGTTCTGTTCTCTGGCTGATCTGTTGTCCTTTCTTCCTTTTCAGAATGGACTGCTGAATTATGAAGTATGTCAGACTCAGTCATAGATCATCACTCTGCCACTCTCTCCTTTATCGCCTACTAGTTATTTAAATTGGACTTTTAATATCCTACCAGCTGCTCTTCAGACACACATGGTGCATTGCTGCCATTCCCCGGATTGCATCTTTGAAACACACACTCTTAGTAGCCTTCAGCGAACAAAGAGGCCACCTCCCGGTACAGCTACCGGGAGGGAGTCATCCTGACTACCCTCTAGCCTTGGCTGGATCTGGATTTGAATTCTACCATGGAACCTCGAATGGAGTCCTGTCTGGCCCAGGTGCTGCAGAAGGATGTGGGGAAACGGCTGCAGGTTGGCCAGGAACTCATAGACTATTTCTCAGACAAGCAGAAGTCTGCTGACCTTGAACATGACCAGACCATGTTAGATAAGCTTGTGGATGGACTCGCTACCTCTTGGGTGAACTCTAGCAATTACAAGGTAAGCCTCACCTTAGGAAGTAGGTGCTCTCGAATGAAGGTGGTGAAGCCGTCTTGGCAGATCAAAATTGGGTTGGAAAAAAAAAAAAATCATTGGGAAGAATCAGCAGCCGGATCCCTCAGTTTCAAACGTGATATGCACGCAAGTAATGGGAAGGAGCGACGGGGGGTGGGGGTCTTTTATATGGGGATGTTTACAAGCATTTGCAGCCCTGACAGTGAAGTCTTACCATGTTTGCAGGCAGGAGGTTTTGACACCTTGGTGAGAGGCCTCTCACAAATAAAAGGTGTCTTCACTGATGTCTTGGGGGTCAGAATGTAGAGCATTTTACTTTCAAATTACTATTTTGAAGTATACTGGGTACCTGGCAAGAAACAGTTTTAGTTGTCAAGGAGTGACTTTGACCTATAGGTAATGACCATAGGTAATAGGTATCCTAGAGGATAGTTTTTGGCTTTGAGGACTAGGGCTCTTCATGTGTGACAGGGGGAGATGGGGAGGGTGTCTGTAGGGAGGTGGCTGTCCACAGTCCATTCAAGTTGTGAACATGGGCCATTTTACCATTCAAGGTTGAGCTTCATGAATACAAACTGCAGGATGCTTGAAGTCCTGAGGAGGTGTTCTTCACCTGCCCCCTCCTGCATCTTCCCCCTCATCCCTCCCAGGGATGGCATCTCTGGATCAGGGTTGAGTAGATGGAAGGGAAGGAAGCTTTCATGGCTGCTGTTAGTGCTGTAGATTTTGTCAGGGGCCACAGACACACAAGAGTGTGCTGCTGCTCTTTACTGAGTGTGTTGCCTGAGGCTGATTTGGATGTAGGAGCTGGTGTTTCCAGGATTCCTTTTGCTCTGCCTTCCACATAGATTTAAGCCCCAGTCTCAACCAAGATGGTGAGCTAAGACATTACCTAGTAAGTAATAGTTCATTCACCACTGGGTATACCTGTGGGTCCCCCTGTCCTTGAAGATGAGCTGAAATCCTGTCTCAGTCCATACATTTGGTAGAAGTTAATGAGTTCGTCTTGTGTGCAGGCCACCCCATGCTCCATATATGATGAGAGCACTGGCGATGAGAGGTCAGTAGAGTCCGCTTGTGTTTGTGAGGGCCGACAGGTTACCTTGTCTGTGTTTGAATCATGGCTCTGCTACTTCTGTGTTCCTGTTAAGCATTTGGTCCAGAGAAACTGAGAAGTACCGTAGGAAATTTAGCAAGCCTAGTTTGGAGGAAGAGTGCTTTCTGAGTTTGCAGCAGACCTTGTGCACACCTCTGGCCAGTGGGCCTTGCTTCCTCCCTTCCCTCCCTGAAGGACCATTGGGCAGTGAATGCCATGGGGCAGTGAGTGCCATTGGGCAGTGTCTTTTGATGCCTATCCAAGATTACTTCCCGCCTCCTGCTTAACCACAGGTCTCATCTAAGGTGCTCCTCCCTCCCCTGAGGAAAGTCTGTGCTCACAGGAAGGAAGGAGGGAACATGAGCTGAGTCTGACTGTACTAGGAAGGGGAGGTTTCCCGTGGATAAAGCTGATGTTAATTAACTACCGGTAGAACCTGTTTCATTGAGCTTTGTAATGTCTCTGAGTCTCAGGTTCCCCATTTATAATGTCAGGATAATCAAATTGTTTACTAATCTTTAAAGATTCATTTATTCTTATATTATGTGTATGAGTGTTTGCCTGCATGTTTGTTTGTGCACTGCATGCATACAGTGCCCATAGAGGCGAGGAGAGGCCATCTCCCTGAACTGAGCTGGAGTTACAGACAGTTGTGAGCCACCACCATGGATGCTGGGAACCAAGCTCGGCCTCTCTGCAAGAGCAGTTAATGCTCTTAATCACTAGACCATCTCTTCAGCCCCTAAAAGATTTTTTGTATATATGCATGTTTGTGTGTATGTGAGTGTGCATATGCCATGGTGTGTGTGTGTGTGTGTGTGTGTGTGTGTGTGTGTGTGTGTGTTGGAGAACCTCAGGTGTGGTGTTTTGCTGAATTGTTCTATTTCCAATCAAAACTGGAGAGTCAGATATTGGGGTGAAAAACTTACAGATCAAAGAAGCAGAGGAGTGACCAGCTGACCTTCCCTTTCTTATTGGAGACCCAGCCAGCCCCTCTTCTCTTCATAGTCCCAGATGGAAGAGAGTGCAGGAATCCCAAGTCCCTCCCTTCTCCTTCTTGACTTCTCTATCTGTATTCCTGCCTTTTCTATGGCTAATTCTGGCTCTGCCCTCTGATTCAAAGTTAACTTTATTAACACAGTCTTGGAGTGTTCACAGTATGATCAAATAGCCCCCAGCACTGAGGTTTTGGTCCTTGCCTTTCAGTTGATTTGAGATAGGGTCTCTTCTTGCTCACTACTGTTGTGTGCACCAGGCTAGCTGAGCCATAAGCTTTCAGGGAGCCTTCTGATCCACCTCCCCTCTCCCCATAGGAGTGCTCAGATTATAGACACACTCCCACATCCAGCTTTTATGTGGTTCTGGGAATCTGAACTCAGGTCCTTGTGCATGTGTGCCAAGTGCTTGACCTACTGAGCCATCTCCCCAGTCAGATAACACAGTTTTTATGAGCACTGAATGAGACAGTGGCTCTGTTATTTCTAGCCACTGCGTCCTAAGCTCCTTAGTGGTGGCTCTTGACTTGGGAGAGGGGGGTTGCTGGTCAAAACAGGTGATAACAACACTGTTCAGGTACAGCATGTGTATGAATAGAAACACATGGGATTCTGGGCAAGGCCCATGTAAGCAACACCACTTCCTGGAGAGCCTGGAAGTTTCAGTCCTTTTCCAGAATGGATTTGGAAAGTCACAGGAGGGAAGGTTTAAGACCTAACACTCTGAGGAGGATTATCTTTGCTCCCCCATGCTCTCTTTCCTTTCCCTCCTCTTTCTTCTCCTGTCCTCTTTTCTTTCCTGTTCTCTTTTTGATACAGGGTCTTCTGTATCCCAGGCTGGCCTGAACTTGGGTGGTCTTGAACTCGTGTTCCTCCTGTCCTCAGTTCCCAAGTGCTGGGATGACAGCAGGTGTGTGCTACCCTGCCTGACCAGGAAAGTAATTAGCAAGCAAAAGCAGGTTGTTGGGGAGTAAAAGGACAACGATTTGGCTCATTTCAAATTTGCTTGTGACCAGGTTCAGCAACCCATTTGTTGTGCAGATGAGCTGAGTGCGTTGTCACTTGGGAGCACTCAGCTCTGTCTGCTGCTTTAATACAGATAGTTGTGCATCCAGGGCTCTTTTGTGGTTTTAATCCTGCAGGACAGAGCACCCCTCCTCCCCTTTGGAAGTGTTGAGGTGCAGAGACAGCCCTGTTCCCAGCTGAAGCCCAGAGCCTGGACCTGATATGGGCTCAGGAAATACTGGGTACAGGGACTTGGAATATCTGACTGCTCAGCAGGTGTCGCAGGTTGCTTTGTTGAAATCTGGACGCTAATCTCTTAGGCTCCTTCTCCTTTATTTTTCTTACTCTTAGTCAAGAGTTCTGAGAATCTGAGGTACATTTTATTAGACTTTAATTTTAGAATAGTAGGAATAGAAGAGATTAGTTTTCCAAACAGAACTTTGAAGCTACACTTGTAGATTCTTTTAAGTTAAGGGCTAAAGAGATAAGAGGAGAAAGGTGAAGAAGGAATTTTGGTCTTCTAAAGCAACAGTACTCATATGTTATTTCTTTCCCTTTTGTGTGTGGGAGGGTCATATGTAGAGGTCAAAGTCCAGTCGTAGGTGTCATTTCCCCAGGAGCTAGTTCCTTTTTTGAGATAAGATTTCCCACCTGGCTGGCTGTGGCTAGTCATTGACCTCTAGCATCCTCCACTGTGCACCCCCTCAGTATGTGGGTACTATGCATTGGGCTCAGGTCTGTGCCTGTGTGGCGGTGTGCCTGTGTGGCTAGCCTTTACTGACCAAGAGTTCTCCCCAGGCCTTATTTTCTCAACAGGAAAGGTCAGTGAATGCCGTGGAGACAGAGTCCATTGTGCAGTTCATGCTGGCTTAGAACTCGTAGTCTTTTGCATGAGCCTCACAAGTGCTGGCATTTACAGGTGATCCCATGATCCCTGGCTTAGAAGGTTTGGCTGGGGCTTGAATAAATTTATTTTAGAGTATTTTCCCCACTCTGCAGACAAGTTGCCACTGACTATTTACCATTCACTTCAAACTACAAGTCAGCCATCTTACCTCTTAGTTATGGAGCACTCCTACTATCTAAAATTTTAAAAAATCTTATTATTGTGTGTGTGTGTGTGTGTGTGTGTGTGTGTGAGAGAGGGAGAGAGAGAGAGAGAGAGAGCGAGGGGGGGGGAGGGGGGGGGGAGTGTGTGTGCTACAGTAGGTTCGGGAGGTCAGAGAACATCTTTGTGAAGTTGGTTCTCTCCTTCTACCATCTAGGTTCTGGGAATCAAACTCAGATGGTCAGGCTTGTTGGCAGGCACTTTTATCTGCTTGGTTTTTTCCTCAGGTCCTTGGTCTCTGTGCATTAAGTTTTTGTCAACATGACACAAACCAGAGTCTCCTGCTATGGTTGTTCTAATGAGAAATGCCATGGTCTTGGCATTTGAACACTTGGTCCCTAGTTGCTGACACTGTTTGGGGGAGGTTTAGGAGGAAGTGTGGTTCTGGGGGGCTTTGAGAGTAAAAGTCCTGCCTACTTCCGGTTTGCTCTGCTTCATGTTTGCATTTAAAGATGTTAGGTTTCGGCTAATTGTCCCTGCTGCCATGCCTTCTCTCTGGAACATTTTGGCCGTGGTGTTTTTTTAGAGCTACAGAAAAATAGCTAACACACTTAGAAAGAGGGAACTTCAACTAAGGACTTGTCTCTATCAGACTGGTCTAAGGGCATGTGTGGGGGGCAGGTTTTGATCCGTGGTTGATGTGGGAGAGGGCCCAGTCCACTGTGGATGCTACTACCCCTGGGCAGGTAGTTCCTGGTTATTTAGGACAGCAGGCTGAGCAAGCCTGGGAAAGCAAGCCAGTAAACTACATTCCTCCATGGTTACTGCTCCTATTCCTGCC